AAAGTCTCCTCTCTCTCTCCTCTCTTTGTTTACCTCCCTCTCCCCCGTATTCTCCTTCCTCTCTGCTCCATCTAACGCTCCTCACCCGCCTCCTGCTGCATCCTGCCTTCATGCCCCTCTCTGCACCTACACAGAGGCTGGACGTGCTGACGAGTATATACTCCATGTCGCCCCCCGAGGGCGGTCTTTGGGACAGCGTCAGCAGTGCCGCAGATGCGCTGATGTGCGTGTACATGCCAGACGGCCTGACGGTCCAAGTTCCCATCAGAAGAGAGCAGGCAGCTGCTGACCTTCTCTGTGCAGCGTGCAAGGTTGAGTTTCAAAGAAATTATGCCATTTGACAAAAATCAGACGATAATATTCCTGCGACTGTTTTAGCAAAAAAAGATTTGAATGTTTCATATATGCAAAACTTCTTAACTCCATCGAGAACAGCCTCAGTAATGGTCTGGTGTCAAACAGCTGTAGCAGCAGATTTGATTGCATTATGTCCCCGAGGGTTTGAAATGACACACTTCACACAGCCCCCCTGAATGGCTGCAGATGCATGGGCTCTCACATGCATGGGCTCTCACATGCAAAAACAACATGCATGCAATTTCTTAGGCTAAACATTTTTTTGTTTACTGCAAATTTCCCATCACTACATGGGAAGAGTAATTGCCACCTCGGGCCACGCAGCAGCTGTGTGGCGAAGCACTGGTGTGGAAATATGTGGGATGATTTTCGTGCCGTCTGCTAAGCATTTACTGGCTCCTGTGTAAACAGGTGAAACAGCTGGACCCGGGCGCGCACTGCCTCCGTCTGCACAGGCGAGCGGGGCAGCACGTGGAGGTTCGATACGTGGCTCCCGGAGAGCTCCTCCGTGATGTGGTGAGGAAACGCGCACGATCCCACGCGAACGCTTCATTTATCCGCTCTTTCTATAACGTGTATCGATTTGTTTAATGTCGCCCCGCAGGTCAACGATCAGTTGGAGGTGGTCCCGGCGAATGTGTTTACGCTGCACATGAGCAGGCGGAGCGGCAGCGGCGACTTGGGTGAGTCAGGCACGTTTGGGCGAATCGTGTTTGGAGTTTCTGTCGTGATGCTTTATGTAATCCTCCGGTTGAATCCTCCTGGCAGGTTTTGCAGTGACAGGATACGCAGACGGCCAGAAGAACAGCAGGGTTTTTGTCAGCGAAGTGCTCCCTGACGGCCTGGCCTTCAACGAAGGTGGCGATCTAAAACGACCAATAAGAGCGTCGCGTTTGAGATCGGCGTGGCTTTTCTGAAACGAGTTTGCCCGTGTGTGCAGGTCTGCGTCCTGGCGATGAGATCCTGGTCCTGAATGGTCGGTGCGTCCCCGGTCTGGACCTGGCGTTGATCCAAACGCTGTTTGCTGAACAAACTGTGCACCTGAGCCTGAGGCGGGAGGGCCCCGTGCTGCCACCTGTGACCTCTGACCATCTGGCTCCTCCCACTAAACACAGCCAGGAAGTTCGAAGTAAACACCACCGAGCCAAGTCGTCCTCAGGTGCTTTAATCAGACGCACGCTCATAGATGGAGTCGTTATAGGACATCAGCTTTACTTACTGCAAACAGCTGACAGTAGAATAGAAAGTGACGCTGGTACAAGTTGAAAGGTGACACGTTTATGAGTTATGACTGTGCAAACGTTACTTCTGCTAAAAACATTCGGCGCCATTGTGCAGAACTCCAAACCGCAAAGTTCCAGTTTTTCTTTCCTCTTTTTCTGCAGTCGCTTCTTATCTTTGTAATCGATCATCTCGGCAGCGTTATTGCTGTGACACCCGAGAATCAATGCTTCTTTAGAATTTACTGTTTATTTGAACCTCAGAGTTATTAGTGGTGAGCTG